GGGTAGGGTAAGGCTACACGTAGGCTACTAGGAAGCTGGATTCGAAATTATCCGTTCGCGAATAGCCACATGTATGAAGTTTTCATTATGCTTTTCTGTTTGATGTTTTGATAAAGTCAGACGAATTATGGCAAATGTCTGATAACTTTGTTGGTTCGTATCCAAAGAAGATGTCTACCCTTTGAGAACTCTACTCTATTTCACTCGACGGGATAGCATGAATAATTTCCCAACTGATGATTTTCTCTTATCATGCAGGAACAATTTATTTGAGATCTCCGAAATATCTTAAGGGAGCTACTGAATTTTGCGATTTTTTATACAGGTGACAGAATATAAATAAGAGTAGAAACTCAACATGTTTCGAGATTTTGTTAATAGCTGAGTTATTAATAAGAAAGGCAGACAGTGAATGATTGGTAAACGATATTTTGAGTCGGGTCCGAGTACGAAGCGGCACTTGACTCATCACTCGAATTTTTCTTTTTTTTTTGCGGATTAAGGACAATTTGAAAAATCCGCGGAAATAAAAACGACAACATTTAAACATTCTTGAAACCAGGTATCACACGGAAATCTTCTTTACCTGTGTGTATGTAAGAAAAGATTTTCTCTGCTTCCGAAAGAGATAAAGCTTTGTTCCACACTGCCAACTCATCCATTGAAAGTAAGAACTTATTGCTTCCAATTCCTATCTTTCTAACTGCCTCAAACCCCAAAGCAGTCGATGTTTCAGTACAGTTAGCATAAGCTGGTAACCTGAGGCCATTGAGGAAAATCTCGATGGCTCCTCTGTGCAACCACATTATAGTCACGTGACTCCAGGCATTTGTGGCTACAGGGACCCCATAGCTACAAAAGTGAGTTGGCGATGAGAAGAAGACATCGATCCCAGCAAGTAACTCATCTTCTATGTGAGCACGAAAAGCCACGCCTTCGTGGTACATTAAGTACTCAACAGTTACACTTTCCGAAGTTGGCAATGGCGTGAGGAAAAACGAAGGGCTGAACTTTGGTCCAAACAATTTTATCCAAAAGGCCACAGTCATCCCATTTTGACACAAGGATGGTCGGTCAAAGCAGCTAGTCTCGAGGAGTTTAAGATGAGCTTTTCCCGAAAGCTGAATGGCTCTGTTTACTGGACCAATGATCAATGATACATTATTTACTTGATCTGAAAAATCATTAGATCCATCTGGTGAATGAACCAGAGAAAGTGGATTCCCAGTTTTCAAATCTAAAAGGTTCGATTCGTCGAAAGGAAGATAACTTATACTTTCATTGTAGATGGTGGCCACAAGAGCTGGGAAAAAAACCAAAAAAATATTTGAAAGATAAATATTTGATTTCTTTTATACACGATTCTCGTCGTCATATCAAATCAACAAGCCTCTTTCCCTGTTAAGAGTCTTAAAAGACCCAATAGACTGTATGGTGATGTGTGGACAGCGCCAAAGCCCCGAGTTCAAAAAAAAAGGAAATAAAGAGTATTGATAAGTATTGGCAGGATTTGGTAACCCCATCCTTAAAGCTTCAGAGGAGGTTCCCCCCTGTCCATGAGCACGACATGGTTTCCCTATCCATTGGCACAAGTTCGATATGGACGCAGGAAAAAAAGCACTGGGTCGAAGACATCAAATCGAGGCTTAATGGCACCCTTGAGACATTCAAAGAAATCTCACCATTTTCGCACGATTCGGTTACATAGTCCAGGTCTCGATCTCCACAAAAACATTTGCTCATTTCACGACTACAGAAGCCTGGGGCTTGGCATGGAGGTTCACACACTGGACCTACAAATTTAAAAGATCGACTGTCAAAATTTTCATCGGCTTTCCTGTTGCCTCAGCCAAAACGTGACCAGTAAAAAATTCACCAACATCTCTCTCTAGGATTGAAAGTTGATCCATTCAAGATTAGGAACGTATCAACGTTCTCCCTTCTCACTGCGATTCTTCGACTACCATGGAACAACTGTAATGATTCCCTTCTCTTTTATAGTTAGGCAGGCCGATCAACATCTGTCAAAAGAGAGGGTGATCGTTGCCCGCTCACATCAACACGTAGATGTGATCGTTGAGCTCTCAGGCAATGTTTTGGTTTTGTGAAGAAGCGAACGATTTATGTAATCTGGGCTAAATTTAGTATTTCCCTGCTCAATCCTACTTTTCTCAGAGCCAAAAACAAGAAAGTCAAAATACCTTTTATATCTTCAACTTCTGCTTGACTCAATCCTTTTTCAAATAGCTTCACATCTCTGATATAGCCTTGGTAGCGTGACAAGTTACGGTTTTCATTTCCAGGTCCGATTTGAAAATATTGCGCATCGGACTTGAATGGAAGATCTACCGAATGACTAACTTGAAAAGTTTCCTTCTCGTTATCTACCCAAAGACAAGCGGTACGCTGCTCTAAGTTCCACGTTACTGCCACGTGCGTCCACGTGTTTGCTTTTATTGAACTGCAAAAAGAAATCAATCGGCGCTAAAATTAAGGTCAGTGGTTATTTTTCCCTTAGGACCCGCTTAAGTCCTGTAAAATGAAGTCAAATCTATGTAAACTTTCGTTTACTAACGGGAGTACACTGGTTTTCGCCCGGGATTCATAATTGGATTCCTAGAAGGATACCGTTGGATTCCCGATGAGTTCCCGTCAGGCTTCCGTCAGGCTTCCGTCAGGCTTTCGTCGGGTTCCATTCGGGCTCCTGACAGGCTCCCGTCGGGCTTACATTGGTTCCCTGTAGAATTTCTGTCTGATTCCTGTTGGATAACCGCTGGGTTCTGATTGGGTTCCCAGAATTTCAGATCAAATGATGATCAGTTCACACGGCGATCAAATGAAAAATATTTCATGACCATCTACCTTAAGCTTAAAATTGAAGATGGTAGAGAATCTAAGATCAACGTCTCGCAAAAGTTCATGTTCTATACTTATAAATTCATATATTCTATCATGACTGATAAACACAGACCGTAATTTCATCTATTTTGCTACCACCCTAAAACATTAAGATCCTTAGTTTTGTCAGTCTTTTTCTTCCGGACTTGACAGGTGCAGAAAACATCGACACTCTTTTGTTATCCCCATACAGAAACAAATGGTTAAGTTTTTCTGTCAAAGTAATTAAGGATTTGGAAATGTAACATCAGTTTCAATGCGATACGACACATTACCTTCA